GGCGCACCCGCCTCCCCGCGGCGCGCCGGGCTCGCCCCCAGCGCGCGTACACGCGCGCACGCACACACTCGCACACACGTGTGCGCCGCTCTGCCCGCGGTGCCGCCGCTCCTGCTCTCGGCGCCGCCGTGGAAGGCAGGGCCCGAGCGCTCCTTCTTGAAACACATAAATTACAGCCCGGCAGCCTCGGCGCCCTTGACAGCGCGCCCGGCGCCCCTCCCGCCAGCTCGCCAGCTGCCAGCCCTGGGACCTTCTCATCTCTTCCCTTTTGGCCGGAGGAGCCGAGTTCAGATCCGCCACTGCGCACCCGAGACTGACACACTGAACTCCATTTCCTCCTCTTAAATTTATTTCTGCTTACTTGCCACTCGTCTTTTTTTTTTTTTTTTCTCCCATCTCATCGCTCCAAGAAACTTTTTTCTTACTCCCCAAAGTCAGGGTTCCCCCTGCCCATCCCGTATTAATATTTCCACTTTGGGAACTACTTGCATTTTCTTTTTAAAGGAATTCAAGAAAGATATATTTTTCTATTGGGCATTGACTCTCGACTGTTTGCAAAAATTTCGTATTAAATACAAACAACTCTACCTGGTCTGTACTTTGAGAATTGTTGGTTTCTTTTCTTTTTTTTCTTACTTAAAAAAAAACCCAAAAAACCCAAACAACAACAACAAAAACCCCCTTCCCTCCCCCTTTTTAAAAAATGCACTGCTGTGTGCTGAGCGCTTTTCTGTTCCTGCATCTGGTCACGGTCGCGCTCAGCCTGTCTACTTGCAGCACACTTGATATGGACCAGTTCATGCGCAAGAGGATCGAGGCGATCCGCGGGCAGATCCTGAGCAAGTTGAAGCTCACCAGTCCCCCAGAAGACTACCCTGAGCCCGAGGAAGTCCCCCCGGAGGTGATTTCCATCTACAACAGCACCAGGGACTTGCTCCAGGAGAAGGCGAGCCGGAGAGCGGCAGCCTGCGAGCGCGAGAGGAGCGACGAGGAGTACTACGCCAAGGAGGTTTACAAAATAGACATGCCGCCCTTCTTCCCCTCGGAAAGTAAGTACTGCTCTTTGCTTCCGTCCCCGAGGTTAGCACTGCCCCGAGCTCTCCGAACCGCAGCAGCTGCAGCGATCGCCTTCCCTCTCCGGCCCCCCGAACGCTCTTTTCCGGCTCTCCTGTCCTTCGCCCCATCCACCTCCTCTCCCATCGTACGCTCCAGACAGGCTTGAAAAGGTTAACTTTCTACTTTATTTTCTCCATCTGTCCCTGCTCCCCACGCTCAGTCCGTTCTGAGGCATTATTCTCTTTTTCTCTTCCCTGAGATACTCTACTCTGCCACCAGCTAGGAGTCAGCCCTCGTCTGTCAAACTAGAGGCGCTCCCTGGGACAGAGTTAAACTGGGAAATCTTGGTAGGTTTGTTTTCTTTGCTCCGATTGGCGTGAAATTCGCCGACCTGGTGCACGAAGGGTTAAAAAAAAATAGTGGCTTAAAACTAGCCTGTCCGGAAGGCGCCCCCTTTCCGTGCCGAACTCTTAGCTGGTTCCCCAAGCCTTCTCTATTGTCTCTAACTCCCCCACAAATGTCATCATCGCCAAGACAAAACCCGGTTTGGAGACCCGTGGAAAAACCTGCCTCGAAACCCTTAATCCTTGATGTATCTGTTCCCATCCCTAGGTGTTTCCACTCCCCAGAAGCAAAATCTTGTAACCACGTCCCCTTTTGACTTCACCTGAACTGGTGGAAAGGACACCTTCGTTTCCGACTATTTAAAAAGGCTTTACTTCACATTACTTTTCAGAATTCATCCAAACCTGCCTTCTTAAAATCATCGGCGTTAAGCAGATCATTTTTCTTATGAGTTAATCATTGAACTTTTTCAACTTTGAGGACTGTGCTCTGCCCTTTCATAGGCTTCCTGCAGTTACTTCTTCGAGATGCATTCCTAAATCAGATAGAGTAGAAGTAGCTTTTTAATTTTTTTTTAATTGGCTTCTCTGAGAACTGTCCTCAAAACCAGTTGGCAGACAGTAGCCATGGGAGTGAAATGATTTACTGTGGAGCTCTTTGTGAGAAAAGGATGACAGTTAGCATAGCATTATTTCAGAGTTCTTAAAACAACAAGAAGCAGTATCCACTGATACCTCCTGAGAGGGTTAAATACCAGGAAGAAAAAGAAAAAGGAAAAAAAAAAAATAGAAAAAAAGAAAAAAATCATTAAGTGCAACACCATCAATTAACTGAATATAATTGATATGTATAGATTACTTCATTCAACAACAGCAGAATACACACTCTTCTCAAATTCTCAGGGAAAATTCGTTACATAGGATAGACCACATTTTGGATCACAAGATGACCCTTAAATTATTTTTAAAATAGGAATCATACTATGTTTTATCTCAGATCACAATAGAATTAAACTAGAAATCAATAAATTAAAGAAAGCTGGAAATGACCCCAAATGCTTGAAGATTAAATAACATATTTCTAAATCAGAAATAGATAACAGAAAAAAATCAAGAATTTTTTAAAAATTTTTGAATTAAATCAAAATAAAAGCACAACTTATCAAAATTTGTGGGAAGAAGCAAAAGTGATTCTTAGAAAAAAAATTAGAGCACTAAATTCATATATTAGAAAATAAGAAAGATGTAAAATGAATTATCTGAATTTACACCTCAGGAAACTAGAAAAAGAAATAGCAAATAAAACACAAAGGAAGCAGAAGAAAACAGTAATGAACATGAGAGAAGAAATAAGTGAATTTTCAAACAGGAAATCCATAGGAAAAAAATAATGAAACTGAAACCTGGTTCTTGGAAAGTATCAATAAAATCACTAGCCCTCTATCCAAGCTAAGTCAGAAAAATAAATTATAAAAAAGAAACAAGACACAAATTAATAATATCAGAAATGAAAGAGAGGACATCACTCAAGTGCCCATTTCTCTCCTCCCCTTCCCATGTCCTATATACTTGCTGGCTGCCTTTGCAAAGTCTCTGTGTCTTGCCTAAGTAGATAATACAGCCATCTTGGTAATTTTATCCTAGAGGTTCTAATTTCAGGATGGTGCTTTTCTTTTTCAATATTTATTTTTAGCTGGACAAGTCCTAGCAATGTGACTTGCCATGTCTTGTACTTGATGGTCTCAAAATGTCAGCCGTGTATCTAACCCCAGTCTTTCTGGCGACCTTTCTTTTGCTGCAGCTTCTCCTCTTCTCGTTCCATAGCAAAACAGATGCAGGGAATCCTGGCAAGCAGGATGATTTTATTATTGCAATTATGGCACTATCTACAATAGCGGTGATAAATACACCCCACCCTGGTTATTCCCCTCCGGAAGTAAAGCTTTCTATCTGGGGTGGAGCCAAGAAGATATTAGGAAAGAAAGTTCATTGTAATTAGTCCAAAACCATTGAGACGGAGCAAGGAGTCAAGTCAGTTTGCTTTCTCTAGCACATGCATAAGTTCTACTGGTAATTTGGGCAGACAGGCAAGTATGTTATGCAGAACCTGAATAACTCATCCTTCAATGTTTACATGCAAAACCTCTAATACACTTCCAGCACTTCAATAACACAGAGAGGAGGTCTGACCTCATTACTGCATAGGTGCGGAGAGAGCAAAAGGGCATTAATTCTTTGTCCTCTCAAGCACACTTCAGTCTAAAGAGCTGAGATGGTCCAACCCCGGATTGTGGTCATCAACAAATTGGAAAAATTCCCAGATTATTAGGAGGGTTTCAGAGTATGGCATCTAAGATCACTGTGTGGATTCTCCTCTGCATTCCACCCCCAGCCACCTAAATTAAAACCTCTGAAAAATTCAGGATAAAAAAAATATGCTATTAGTTTTCATACAAAGAATACAGGTTTCTTAAAGTATGGAAGTTTAGGAGCAGAAAGCCATATTAATAGCAGATTTGATACTACTGTGCAAGGACTGTGGATAATTTTATAGAAAGTAGGTTAACTGATTTTCCAGCACTTTCTAGTTATACTGGAATATGATGAAATTTTCCAAAAAAAAGGAAGAAAAGAAAAAAATCACTCCACCATATTTTTAAAAAGCAGATTGAAAGTACAGCATTGGCTTATATACCAACTTTCCCTCTTTAGGGCTTTTCTGCCTAACTTTTAACTTGGCTGTCATTGAAGTAGCTGTGGGGAGGGAGTGTGCCTCGTCATTTCTTGCAGTGAATCCGGCAAGGGTCATAAGCCCTAGAGATGAAGGCATGGGAAAGATCACTGGTTCATTTTTACTACCAGCTTATTAGTGTTCAGGGAGTGACTTCAGCTCAAGTATTACAAATATGCTCTAATTATACTCAGTGAGCTATATGTTATTACAGATTGCTGATAGCCCTTTGTGGGATATTTTATAAGTTCAGACTAAATATTTTTAGCAATGTGGAGATTTAAAAGTAAAAATATAAGAGATATTGTATATGCCCTCAGGCATATTTTGTCTTAAATATTATCCTTGGCCAAATGTGCTATATAAATACAGTAAATATGAATAGAACTGGCCAGGTGCCAATCTCCTGGGAAGAATTTTAGTCAAGAATGTATTTATGGGATATAAATAATACTGTGTCAACATTTAAAGAAGGAGTCTGATTAGTTTTGAATTTATTCATATTGATCTTTTCACATGCTGTTAGTTTAAGGCTCAAAGTGGAGTTATGCAAAGGTTTCCTTATAGTTCGCCCAGTGGGAATTAGTGGACGTCTAGTAGTTTGACAATCCGTTTGAAGTTCAAGGCACATCTATTCAAAAAACACTATACACTGCACAAAGTTTCAGAAATTTAGAAAAAGCGATTCTGTAAAATGCAAGAAGAATCCAAATTGACAGGTAAAATCTGGAGAGGTTTGGTCAATCAAAAAAAAGGAAGGGGCAAAACAGTTTCATTTTCTTTTTTCCCTCTCCCTTTTTCATTGTAACGAGCCAGGCACATGTTGTGGTTCTAACCATGGTAATTTTGTACCCTCACCCCTGCTGAAATATTTGGCAATGTCTGGAGACATTTTTGGTTGACTTGACTACTGATGGAGGGGTGCTGCTGATATTTCATGGGTAGAAGCTGGGAATGTTTCTGACCATCCTGTGAAGCACAGGACAGGTGCCCCCTGCCCCTCCATACACTAAATAATTATCCAGCCCAAATTGTTAATAATACCCAAATTGAGAAGTCCTGGAATTTATTTTGAGTTACTGAATTCTGCTGGTAGTACCATTTTAAAAGTAATTACAAAAAATAAAATGTCTTTATGATCAAAGGATATTAAAAAAAGAGCATTGATTAGGAGGATAATCAGAAAGTTATCTTAATTAAATGTAATATAGGTTAGACCATTCTGTATGGAATATACTTTATTATTGTGATCTTAAAACACCTAAATTAGAGGCATCAAAACTTCCCATTTATTTAGCCTAAGAAATGGTGTTGACCCACCCATTAGTAGCCTCAGTCATCAGCAGTGTGACATTAGTCAGAACAGAGAGAAAAGAAGTGAGGAATTATCTTGGATTTTCCTTGCAAGGAAAGTAAGCAGTTTGTGCTAATGAAGAGTGAAATCTCCAACCTAGATGACTGAAGAAAATATAAATAATCATGTTGGTTTACTCTATCATATTGAATTAGATAAACTAAAATATACAGCCTGAAAAATCACAATGAGGTTTTCTTTGTAAATGTTTCACAAAATGTTAAACATTTAATACCAAGCAATCTCCATTTATGTCTCCTCTGTAATTTTCCAAGTGAAATTGTGGAATGTAGAATGAATACCAGTGACACTATGGTTTTGGGGAATGTGACTTGGCATTCTATTCATGAATAGAATGGTCTGTTGGCCAATTGCCCAATGAAGGAAAATATTAGCAATTGCTGGAATACAGTAGTTTTTTTGCTTTATTTTATTTTTTAAGACTCTCTGTGTGTTTGTATGTGGGTGTGTGAGAGAGGCAGAGAGAGAGAGAGGAAGAGATCAAAGTCAGACTTGAACCCCTTGACTTCTAGAATGGGTGAGTTATTAATACACAGCAGACCG